GGACTGGTTCAATGCCTCACAGCCTGACCCACAGAAAGATCAATCACACTCCTCTCCTTGTAGTGCGGGCTTGGGATGCAATTAAAGAAGCCACTGCTGCCACCGGCCAGGCCAGGCTTAATGGATTTTAAAGGTAAAGTGCAAACCACGCTGCTTCTGTGAGCGTGCGGTGGGGGAGGGCTCCGTTTCTGGGCCAGAGAGATGAACAGGACTGTGATGTTTTCTGTTTGCTCAGGTGTGGGGGAAAGTTTGGGATAGGATACAGAGCCCTGAGCAGGGCCTCCATCACTCCCTCATCAGCTGGGACACCCTGGACATGCTGTGCAACCTCATAAGCCTCAATTTCCTCATCTGTACAATAGGTATAATGTCAGTACCTCCCACCTAGGATTGCTGTGAGGACTCACTGGGATCAAGCAAACAGAGTTTCTACACCAGAGTAAAACCAAATATCAAACAAAACCCACTGCCAATGAGTCAATTCCAACTCATAGCAGACCCATAGAAGGTTTCTGAAGCTGTAAATGTTTCCAGAGTATAAAGTCTCATCTTTCTTCCAAGGAGTGGCTGGTGAGTTTGATCTGCCAACTTTGTAGTTGGCAGTCCAAGATCAGACTGCTAACCAAGGATCAGAGTAAGGCCTCTGATAAAAGTTGTTCAGTATTCTGAGTACCAGCCAACAATGGTGCCTCAGTTTCTTCTAGGAGACCACAACTCTGTCAACCAGGTTTCCTCTGATCTCCCCCTCCCATCTGGCCCACAGACCCTGAGACAGATCTTGAGACTGCCCAGTGCACTAATTCCCTTTCTCCCTAATAGCAGACACATGAGCCCAAAGCCATTCATTGGTCCTGTTACAAAGATTCTGATTCAGTAGGCTTGCTCCTCTTGAGAGTGGGGTCTGAGAAGGGACCACCAATCTGGAGATGGAGCAGCAGCAGGGAGCACAGAGCCCAGTGAGCCAGGGTTCTGGGTTCTAAGCCCTACCTTCCCCTGGGCAAGAGTCTTTGTCTCTATCTGCACAATGAGGGGACCTTTGTGTCACTCAGCCACTCTATAGATCTATGAATCTTATGTGAAGTAGCAGGTGTGTACTGTTCGAACACAGAAACCTGCAGGTGGGCCCAGATGGAAAGGTGGCAAGGATGTGTCCTAGGATGATTGGATACCCCAGGCCTTAGAAGCCATCACTCTGCCTTTATCTACACATCACTTTTGCAAACACACACCGCATTCACTTCCAATAAGAGCATGACGACTGAAATGGCCTTTGCATGGTTGTCAGAAAGAGATGATATATTTATATAAACAAAAACCTAACCTTCAGGTTCATCCACCTGGCATTCAGCTGAGAGCCAGGATTTGCTTCCACCTTTCTTCCCTGCCTTTCTGCAAGGTAGTCTGTTCCAGGACCACAAATATGCTCCAGACTCGAGTTTCTGGGCATTTGTTTGGGCACTTCCCTCTCCCTGGAATAGTAATTCTGAGGCCCCCTATCACCTGCAGAAATCAGAATCCTCCTGTTCCCCAAAGGGACGTGCAGTCTCTAACCACAGCACTTTAGTCAGACCTCTCTTGGGGTGGTGGTGACATTCTGGTTTCTGTTTACAAAAATATGTCATCTCTTTCTAACAACAAGCGTGGAAAGGATCATTTTAGTCATCATGCTGTCGTTGGGAGTGAGTGTGTTGTCTACGACTGTGTGATGGATAGATGCTGGCAGAGTGGAAAGACCATGGGACTTGATGTCCAGTGGAGCTCCTGGAGGGCACAAATTGTTAAGCACTCAGCTACCAAGCTGGCTGATTGGTGGTTTGAACCCGCCCACCTGTTTCACGGAAGTCAGATCTGGCGATCTGCTCTGAAACATCACAACCTTGAAAACCATGGAGCGGTTCTACTCGGCACACCCAAGGCCGCCATGAACTGGAACTGACTCCACAGCAGCTAACAACAGCAAGGGTAGACACAGATCCCAGTCCCAACTCTGCCACCTTCATTAATTCATTCTGCACTATCCATCAATGCCTACTTGGAGTGGCCTTGAGCAAACAATCGAACTTTATGGGTCTTGGTGTCCTCACTTGTCAAGATAGAATAGCATCTACTCTGGAGATTCTGCAATGACGTGATCCTTCACCTGCCTCTATGTAGATTATTTTAAACTATCTACAGGGATGCAACACAGCCCTTATTTTGAGGCATCCCTCAGGACCCAGTTAGAGCATTTAGTGACTCATGTTAGCATTAGCATGAAAATTCCATCACTGCTGACATCTCTCCAGCTCCAAGGAGCATAACATGCAAATTTGGCCACAATGTGGTCCCCTGGCAGGTATATTCCAGGCCCTAGTGCATTGTCTCTCCTGATCAGGAGGACCTATTCTAGAGTCATTTCACAGAGGGACAGTGGGGACTCTGTGTCCAGCCATGAGCAGAAATGTACCTTCTCTTCCTCAGTGACTCTGATCTTACTGTCAGTGTTGGGGGCCTTGTTGGGTCCTGTGTTCAGCCCAGGCTGGTGGAAGCTATCTGCTGAGTTCAAGAGGGCTGGGAACCTGGTCACTATGCTGATCAGCCCTCCCACAGCCCCACCTATGCAAAACTAGAAGAAAGCAAGACTCTGCTCTTTAGGAAATGGAGTTAAGATACTCCGAGCAACTTGCTAATAGCTTAACCTTTCAGTTACAGAGTCAGGAGCAAATCATCTTCAGAATGACACATGTGTAAGTTTATTGCTGCTGAACCTAGCTACCTGGTCAATAACACAATGTGCTTTTATTTAACAGTCTTCACACTTTTAGTTTTACAGAAAAATTGCACAGAACGTTAAGCTCCTGTCAAGGGGTAGAATCAACAGCTTCCTTGGGTAAAATATTCTTGGTTTGGCTTATTTTGCCTAATGGTCTGAGGCCTGGTAACGCGCAATCAGCATTGGTTGCCACTAGGAAGCTCTGGGATAGGGTTGTTCATGTTTAGTACAGAGATCCCTGGTTCTCACTGGAGGTGAGAGACTGCAGTGGCTCTGAATGCCAAGACCCATCAGTAGTTTTGCACATCTTCTTAATTAAAGGACAGAAAATCTCCATCCAAGGACAGCAGTCTTCATCCAAGGACAGAGGGTCTTCATCCAAGGACAGAGGGTCTTCATACAAGGATAGGGGGTCTTCATCCAAGGACAGGGGGTCTTCATTCAAGAACAGAAGGTCTTCAACAAGAAACAGAAGATCTTCATCCAAGAACAGAGGGTCTTTGTCCAAGGACAGACAGATCTTCATCCTAGGACAGAAAGATCTTCATTTAAAGACAGAGAGTTTTCACTAAAACACAGAGGGTCTTTATCAAAGGACCTATTACACACTGTCATCAAGTCATCTCCAATTCATAGGGATCCTATGTTGTTGTTGTTGTTGTTACGCACCATCAAGTCGGTACCGACTCATAGCGACCTTATGCACAGCAGAACAAAACACTGCCCGATCCTGGGCCAACCTCACTACTGTTGCCATTCTTGAGTCCATCAATGCTGCCACTTGGCCAATCCATTTTATTGGGGGTCTTCCTCTTTTTCTCTCACCCTCCACCTTACCAAACATGAATCCTATAGGACAGATAAAACCTCTCCATAGTGTTTCCAAGGCTGTCAATCTTTGGAAGCAGAAGAGCTGGTAGGCTCAAACCACCAACCTTTCTGTTAACAGTCCAACACTTAACCCACTGCTCCACCAGGACTCCTTTCATCAAAGGGCAGAAGGACCACTGGTCCTGCACATGTTCCCAAGTGGAGGTCCAGAGTCCCTGGGATCAGGATGAAGTCACACTAGCCACAGTCCTCTCCATCTTCTGAGCTGTTCTAGCCCTTCTGTCATTCAAATAAACTAGAGCTTTCTGTCTCACCAGCCCCAGGCAAGCCGCCTGCCAACCCTGGAACTCAGAGCTAAGGCCAGCCAGGGATGCTGCCAAGCCTGCTGTGGTTGGGCAGGTCAGATAAAGTCCTCCTGTCAGGGGAATGTCCAGGGGTGTCACAAGGTCCTCAGTATCCCTCCATGAACTCAATACTGGCTGAGCTGAAGGGAATTGGGGAGAATGCCCTGTGAATGGAACACCACATGGGGGACAGGCTGAGGAGGACTCATAGATTCCTGGGGCCATGCCTTTGGTCACACAAGATGGAAAGGTGTGGGTTTCTTCCCCTTGGGTAAAATCAGCCCCATTACAATTCTCTCAGTTAGCCCTGGAAGACTGTTCCAACATGGGCAGGACCCTCCATGTCAAGGTCTGACCAGATGAGCACTTGGGCTGCCTCAAGTAGCACCAGGGTTGAAGGTGTCCAGGTATCTCCCCAATCCCTTTTCCTGGGAAACTACTGTGACTCAGCCTGTCTTTGACACATGGAGAGACCGGGGTGGTGGTGGTGGTGGTGATGATAATCACCCTACACCAAAGTCTTCAGGGCTGGTCCCCTTCGAGTGTGTCAGTGTGTCTGTCTGTGTATCTGTCTGTCTGTGCGCACCTTTCGGTGGGGATTTCTGTGATAAAAGCAGACAGATTATTGAGCGAGAGAAAAGAGGAGGAGAAGAACAAGAGAGGGGAGGAGAAAATTGGGGGTGGGAGAGACAGACGGAGAGCGCAGCAGTGGGAGAGAGAAGAGAAGGAAGCAGAGAGGAGCCTGAGTGTAGGAGAGAGAGAGAGAGAGGTGGCGGGCCAGAGGGCGAAGGAGCTTGAGAGCAGGGAGAGGGAGGAAAAGCGCAGGAAGGTGCAGACAGACTGACAGCTCCGAGGGATGGGGTGAGGACAAGGAAGATCACCGGCGGCTGCACGGAGGATCAGAGGGCGCTCAAGGTGCACAGTGTAGCGACTCGACCCGGTGCCTTCCCGGGAGGTTGGCGCGTTCCGGGGTGGCCGCCCGCTGTCCCCGGGAACCATGGCTGCAGGGACCGGGGGCTCGGGGCAACGGCGCCCCGAGCCTGAGCCGGCGGCGGGCCGCGCCCTGGTGGCGCTGGGTGGCGGGCCCTAAACGCCCGCGGGGGCGCGACGGAGGGCGCGCACCATGAACTCGTGGGACGCGGGCCTGGCGGGGCTGCTGGTGGGCACGATGGCCGTGTCGCTGCTGTCCAACGCGCTGGTGCTGATCTGCCTGCTGCACAGCGCCGATATCCGCCGCCAAGCGCCGGCGCTCTTCACCCTCAACCTCACGTGTGGCAACCTGCTGTGCACTGTGGTCAACATGCCGCTCACGCTGGCCGGCGTGGTGGCGCAGCGACAGCCAGCAGGCGATCGCCTGTGCCTCTTGGCCGCCTTCCTGGACACCTTCCTGGCTGCCAACTCCATGCTTAGCATGGCCGCGCTCAGCATCGACCGCTGGGTGGCCGTGGTCTTCCCTCTGAGCTACCGCGCCAAGATGCGCCTCCGCGACGCCGCGCTCATGGTGGCCTACATGTGGTTGCACGCCCTGGCCTTCCCGGCAGCCGCGCTGGCCCTGTCCTGGCTCGGCTTCCACCAGCTCTATGCGTCCTGCACGCTCTGCAGCCGGCGGCCAGATGAGCGCCTGCGCTTCGCGGTCTTCACTGGCGCCTTCCACTCGCTCAGCTTCTTGCTCTCGTTCATCGTGCTCTGCTGCACTTACCTCAAGGTGCTCAAGGTGGCCCGCTTCCACTGCAAGCGCATCGACGTGATCACCATGCAAACGCTGGTGCTGCTCGTGGACATCCATCCCAGGTGAGGGGGCTGGGGAGCTGCAGAGCTGTGAGGTAGGTGGGCACCCCGGCTCTGCCTTGACCCATTGTGAGGTCTTGGGAAAGCTCTTAACCCCACCAAGCCTCCAAGTTGCCCAGAAATAGCCCAAGGGGTCAGTCAGTGTTGCTGGACTTAAGCTGGGTGCTCAGAGCATCAGCAAAGCAGAGGCCCAAGATGTGATGTGGGATTTTCAAAGGTTGAAATCAGATTCAGAACTTGGTTGGAGTTCCTTCTGTGTGTTTTATGTTTTGCATTTTTGACGGCCTGTGCAGACTGGGGATCTTTCTCTTCTGTTCAAGGCTTTGAGAAGGTTTTGTTGTGTCCTGAGAGGATGGACCAGAGACTGAGGATGCTCGGCACAAACTCCACATACCATTCTGCTCCTGTGTATCTGTTGCTGCCTGTCTTCCTGTTGTCTGCCTCTCACTCCCTCCCTTATTTCCCCTCTCCCTTGCTCTTTCTCTCTCTGTGCATCTGTAAGTTCCCCCTTAGATGGGGTCTCCAGCTGCACCTCCCCCTGGGATCTACTGAACTCTGGAGAGGGGTCTCCTGCTGGCCTTAGGGACCACTGTCCAGTGTCTCCCCAACTGGTAGCAGAGAGCTCCCTGATGCTCCTGGAACTTCCCCTACCTATCTTCTGCCTGCACACTGGCCTGTCTCCCAGGAAGGCAGTCAAAGCAGGCAGCCCCCAGGCAAGCACCCCCTGAAATGCTGTCACCCCCAAGGCACTCTTAGGGACGGAGACCAGATCTCAGTTGCATGTCCTGAACTCACCTCTGTTTCCTGGTGAGAACAGTAATATGAATAGAAAAGTGGCTAACAGTCTTCCAGTGGACCCTGCACTGTGTCTTATCCCATGGTACCCTCACATGCCTGGGACCCCAGATCAGGGCTTCGGCTTCTGGAAGGAATGGAAGATCAGGCAGGTCGGTAGCACTGAGGGAGATGAGGTGAGGACCTTCACTGTTAGCAGAACCCAGGAAACTGGGTGAGGGAAGAAGAGTTGCACCCAGAGAGTGTGTCCCCAGCAGGGAGGAACAGGCTCATGGTGGAGGGGACAATTCAGATGTGTGAATGGAGGTCTTTTGGGTCTGAGGTCTCCTGCCTGGCAAAAGAAATGCCGTTGCATCTCCCTGTGCTGTGCATGTTGAGGCATGTGTGTGCTTGTACTCATTCTTCTCAGGATCCTGCACTGAAAAGCTGCTGGACATGAATTCTTCTCCACAGAATCCTGTGCAGAACTTAACGTGGGAGGGAGAGAACTTCACATGGGCCAAGCACCAGGGCCATGGGCTCAACACACCAGGCATGTGAGCCTCACACACAGCCCGTATGCTCCCATGCATAGTAACCATGTGACAGACACAGCAGGGCACAATGATGCCAGACCTGGTTAACTGCCATCGTGCATGACTCTGCTGGTCAACATCATTTAAAGAAACTGTCTCAGCCCTGTCTGCAGAGCTACCCTCTCTGCCATTGCTTCAGCAGCTGCATCCTGGGACTTGGACCAGAATTGCACGTGGAGGATGGAGGGCGGGTCATTCCCATCCTGGGATGTGGGTATTCTCCCTGGGGTCTAGCCATGGAGGAGGGCCTGGGCTGAGAGAGGAGTCAGTTCTTACTCAGTACACACCTCACTCCTACCCTGTTTCCTACTCTAGGAATGGGAGGTGTAGGGGGGCACGGGCTGCTTCCCGCTTTCTGCTAATCTCCCTTGGAAGGAAGCCCTAACTTGTTTTCTGCCTGAGATGCTTTGAGGAGACTCCAACATCCGAGGATTCTCTAGGGACCAAGTAGCTTCTGTCTGCCTGGGAGATGGGTAGGGCTTAGGGACCAGGAGCCTCCCCCAGCTCAGACAAGCCCCACTTACCAGGGCTCCCTGCAGCTAGTGGGGGCTGGCTAGACTTGCCTTTCCTGGGGTGAGTCCTCACAGAGTGAGAGGTTGAGAGGTGGGTGGTGGGCACACAGGAGGGACCAGCTCTCTGGCAGCCAGTCGGTCCATAAGCTTCTATCTGGTGACTCCAAGTACTTCCTCCTCAGAGATCAGCAGCATTCGAGTTAGTTCTGGGAACGTCCCCAGTAGCCCCGGACTTAGACATCAGGAGTCCGGGCCACAGAGCCCCAGGATGCTTTGAACCTGAGGGCTCCTTTCTCTGCACAGACAGGGCAGTGCGGTGGAATCTGTTCCTTGTAGCCTTACTTACTAGTGACCTACTAAAACATCCCACTGCCATCTGAGTCTATTCTGACTCATAGAAACCTTATAGGACCAAGGAGATGTGTCCCATGAAGTTTCCTAGGATGTAAATCATTGCAGAAGCAGACTGTCCCATCTTTGTCCTGCGGAGCAGCCAATGAGTTCAAGCTGCTTAACCCACCACAGCCCTAGAGCTCCTGAGATGGTCCTGATGTTGTTAAGTACTATCATGTCAGTTCCAACTCACAGTGATCCTGTATCAAGTTTCTGAGGCTGCACATTTTCAGGAGCAGAAAGCCTCATCTTTCTCCTGAGAAGTGGCTTGAACTTCTGGCCTTTGATGCTCAGTCCAGTGCTTATCATTAGAGCCCAGCTCCCTACCTCTCTGCCTCCCCACCTCCGGCAGCCCAGAGAAAGGCCTGGATTGCTTGGGTCTGAACTGTGGTCTGGAATCACCAAGCACAGAAAATGGAGTCACAGCGGAAGGACTGGTGGGGAAGAAGTATGAGAATTCTAAACCGCTCCTTCACAATGTCATAGAAGGCACCACGGACAGGCAGGAGAGCAGAACATCTCTCAGGGTCCCCCACCCCCATCCCTGAATCCCAGATTAATTAGGAAATGAGTCCTTGTTATTCTGAGGTAGCTGAAGAGAAGGATTCTACCTGCTACTCACTCAGGTAGGGAGTCATTGGGACCCACGGAACTTCCTAGGCTCCAAAGAATTCAAGACGGCTCAAGTTAAGGCTCACACCCAGATCTGCAACCCAAAATGTACAGATGGTAACAGCAAGGCCAGTAGAGGCCCACAAACACATACATAAGTATTCCAAAGTTCTAACTTAGGCTTACAAAGTGCTAAGTTAAAGAAGTTCTCTCCTCCCTCTGCACTGAGTCCTGGGGTGGTGCTGTGGGGTAATGCTCTGGACTGTAAGGTGGGTTTGAACTGCAAGGTTGGTGGTTCACGCTCACCAGCTGCTCCTCGGAAACCCTGTTCAGGATCGCTATGAGTTAGAACCAACTCGATGGCATTTAACAGCAACAACAACAACAACAACAACACTCGGCATGGAGATCATCATAACAATCCATGCAGTTGAGATCAGGTTCACATTCCCCAGCTTCCTGGAGTTCAACCTCCTCTAGGAGGGCCTGGGGAGAGCACAACAAACTCCTGCTCCCAGCCCACCTGCCTAACTCGCCCACCTTGGCTTTATCTGACACCTGGAAACCAGGTGAGCCCAAGAGTTCAGGACAGGAGGATTTGACTCCCAAGTAGGAGACTGGGTCGTAGCCCTGCCTATACCCCACTCCCTGGATGGGAAGCTTTGAACCTTGGTTTCCCCATTGTGAGCTGGAGTGCGTGGATGAGGGGAGCTGTTGTCTTATGAGTGACATGTGTCTAGCAACCTGTTCTAGACCACATACATGACCTTAGGCATAGCAGCCCCTCCATCCCATCACCCTCCGTATTCTGTCATGCCAGATACTGTCACAGACAGGCTCCATCCAAAGAGGCCATGGAGCCAAACAGGACCCAGGTCCCTTGGCAGAGGTCCCAGGCTACAATGGTCTCTTGCTCATAAAATCACAAGCAGGAAAAGGATGTCAGAGGGGAGGGGGAAGCCTGTGGTCTTGGGGCATCAAGATGGTGGAGGGACATAGTCATTGTCCAATGAGTTAATGTTGAACAGACAGTGATAATGACTGTCTATGTTGAAAGCTTGCTCAGAATCAGACCCCGCCTTAGGTACTTTGTTCTTTTCAAAACAATCCCACCAGGTAGGAACCAACCCTTCTTATGCCCATTTCTGAGCTAAGGAAGCTGATGCACAGAGTGGCTGTGTAACTTGTCAAAGGCTACACAGCCAGGAAATGATGCAACCTGGGGTTCACCCCAGCTGTGTGGCTCTGGCTCTTGGTGCTTAGTATTGATGCAGACAGGGGCCAGCCCAGTGGAAGCTTGGCACAGCCTGTGTGATCGGCAATCCTTGCTCTCCGATAGGCTTGAGGATCTTAACGCTCACTTTGAACATTTGAAACCACCCATCTGGCCGGGCTGGGGTAAAGCTAAGATAATATGTACAGAGCATGGCATTTTGGGGTTGGCATACGTCAGTAGATCAGTAAGTGGGACAAGTAATAATAAAAGGTGAGTATTTATTTGCACTGGATTTATTTGCTTGGGTACTGGCTGTGCCTTATGTATTCAAAGCATTGTACACATCCACGCACTTACTGTGTTGAATTAATTCTCCAAACGGCTTTGGATAGCATATTATTACTATTATTACCCACGTGCCATAGATGGTGACTTAGGAAGGACTTGCCCCTGAGTCTCAACTTGGTGGCCACATTCTGTACTAGCAGCCGCTGCCTGGGTTGTGACTCAGACGAGACAGAGTCAGGGTCTTCTTCTCTCCACACAGTGTTCGGGAGCGTTGTCTGCAGGAACAGAAGCAGCGGCGGCAGCGGGCCACTAGGAAGATCAGCACCTTCATCGGGACGTTCCTCGTGTGCTTCGCACCCTATGTGATCACCAGGTGAGCCTGCTGCCGGGGTGAGAGCACCACAGAGCCCCAGGGTGGCCCCCAATCCTCCTGAAGGCATTTGGGCTGGGGCGAGATGCATCCTTCCCCTCTTCAGACCTAAATTCTCTTGGATTTGATGCAGAACTGAGATGGTAGTGTGAGTAAGACTCTTTCATGCTCAGCTTCCAAATCACACGACTCTGGCCCTCTACCTCCAAGTCCCCGTCAAGGCCCTAAAGGACTGGGAGAGGGGAGAAAGACAAAAGACACCCTGGTACTGTGATCCTCATCAGTTGGGGCATGAGCCATCTGCAGCAGCCAACCCTAGTCCCCCAGGTCCCAGGTGATTAGGTCAGCCTAGGAGATAATTCTCAGCCAAGGGGCTTGCATTTTCAACACAAGCCATGCTCTGGCTGTAAAATTTCCCCCAAAAGTTTTAGCTAAAAAGAAGCAAATCTTACTTTATCAGATTTGAGGACTAAAGGGGAAAAGCAAACCCCACAACTTTGTGTCCACAGTGGCTTAGCTATTTTGGAAGTTGGAATGTTCGTATTCTTGTAGGAGGGGGATGTGGGAGGTTTTGTTGAGCCTGGGAGCTGGGACATGGGTAGATCTTTCTTGTCTGTTTGTGGGGTCCGGGTAAGACAGACAGAAAGAGGTTGAGAGAAGGAAGGAGACAGAGGAAAAGAGAGAGAAAACAGAAGTAAGAGAGGGACACCTACCAGCTCGTCACCCGAGTATTCCCCAGCATCTTCCCCTGGAAGGACCCAGAAAGATGCTCCTGCCTTATCATCTTGTCTGCTCACACTGTGCATGGGTCTCACCACTGCCCTTAGACCAAGTTGAAGCCTGACTTTCTGTAGCTTCTAATTCTGCTTATCAGGGTACAGGAAAACATTTGTACTCTGGTCCCAACATCCCCTGTGAATTGTCAAATGGAGCATCTGGCTCCACATGGTCAACTCTCTTCTCCTCTCCAGACAGCACAGCTCCTTGTGACACACCAGCCCCTCCCCACCTCTGCCCAGCCCCTTAAACGGCCTTCAGATCTGAGTAGGTCTGACCAAGACAGAGCAAAGCCAAGTGCTCTTCCTTCTAGAAGTGTCCACAGGACATCTTGTGGATGACATTTGGGGCTGAGACTGTTCTCTGCAGTGTAGGATGCTTAGCAGTATCTCTGATCTTCATCCTCTAGCTGCCAGGAACAATCCCCTTTCCAATTGTGACAACCAAAGATGTCTCAGATAGTACCAAGCATTCCCTGGGGGTCAGAGGCACCTCTAATTGAGGACCAATGGTAAAGAGCACTCACAGAAACCAGTGTTGCCTTGAGACACCAAGCCCATGCCAGGTAAGGATGAGGAGGAACAGCGTGGGCTTGGGGGCACCTGTTGTCACTGTTGCTGTGAGCAGATGTCGAGTCTGCCACCTACTCATGGCAACCCATGCACAATTGAAGGGGAGGATGCCCATCCTATGCCACCCCCTTGAATGGTTTTGGATTGAACCATTGCAATCCATGGGTTTTGTTGACTGATTTTCAGCTGTAGCTTGCCAGGCTTTTCTTCCTTGCCCATCTTCACCGGGAAGTGCCACTGAAACCTGCTTAGTATCTCTTGTAGCACCACATAAGCCTCCACTGACAGATGGGTGCATGGCTGTGCAGGAGATGCGTCTCCCTCACGGGAGGCGGGAGACAAGCAGTCTTCCCCAGAAACACCCATGACCTCCCTTGGTCCAGCTCCTCCCCTCCTGTGACTTGGGCTGGTGAGTCCACTACTCTCAGGTGTCTGGAATGTGAAACAAAAGGATGTGGTGAGGGTAGGAGACGTGGGGATGGTTAGCACAGACTTAACTCCAGGTCGTTGGGGGGATGCAGTCTTCAACCAGCACCCACACTCTCTCAGATGCTCTCAGCTTCCATCTGTCTGGTGCACTAGCAGAGAGAAGTAAACACCGAGGGGACAATGCACCAGACAGGGGTGGAGGGCCAGTGGGGATGTTTGGGCTACGGTGCATGGAGGAAGTCAGAGGCCCCTCTAAGCAACCATAGCGTAGGGAGCTTTGAGCTAGTGAGGTGAATTTGACCCTACGGAGACTAGGTAACATGACTCCAGCTTCAGATGATTTGATTTTTCTCTAGCTTAATCTCATTTCCCAACAAAATTTCTTCTTTTTTTTTTTGGTCTGAATATAGCTTGGTTCCTTTTACTAGTGCCCAGGAAATAATGGCTCAGTAAAATGGGTGGTAGACTCATAACTCAATGTGTTCCCTTCAAGTAGACTGGCTGCATTTCGAGTTTTGAAAAACATTTCACAACACTGTTCATTTTTTTAGAGGTATGAGCAGCCCCTTGCTAGGGAGAGACAGCTTGACCTGGAAAATGGCCCTGGTAAAGTTTCTCACCCACATTCCACCCCTCATCATACACTGTCACCCCCACCCAGTCTCAGCCAAAGCTTTCTTGTAAGGGCTTGGAAACTGTGTGCCATTCCATAGACTCACGGTGACACAAAGATGTTTGCTTGACTACTAATATAAAGGTAGGAGTCCTGGAGTGGCGCTGTGGGTTAATGAGCTAGACTGCAAAGCTGTCTGAACTGCAAGGTCAGCAGTTCAAGCTCACCAGCGGCTCCTCGGAAACCCTATACAGGGTCGCTATGGGTCGGAACCGACTCGACGGCACTTAACAACAACAACAACTATCTAAAGGTTGGTGATTCAAACCCACCTGCAGTATCATGGAAGAAAGTCCTGGCTATCTGTTTCTGTAATAGTGACAGCCAAGAAAACCCTATGGGACAGTTCTACTCTGTAACACGTGGGGTTGACATGAGTTGGGATTGACTTGATGGTTGATCATCAACACCAACAACCCATTGGGGCTGCAAGAGGCTGTGCCTGTGGGTTCAGAACAGTCCCATCTCTTACACAAACTGAGGAGTCTATATTTCTAATAAGGCCTTGCTCTATGCCTGAAGCCGTATCTGCCTCATCTCTGCTCCTTAACTTTTCTAAGACTATGTTGTTGTTTTTGTTAAGTGCCATCGAGTCGGTTCCGACCTATAGCGACCCTGTACAGGGTTTCCGAGGGTGTAAATCTTTACGGGAATAGAAAGCCTCATCTTTCTCCTGCGGAGCAGCTGGTAGTTTAGAAATGCTGACCTTAAGGTTCGCAGCCCGATTTGTAACCACTACGCTATAGATCTTTACAAAAGCAGACAGCCTCATCTTTCTCCCGAAGAGCGGCTTGTGAGTTTGAACTGCTGATCTTGCGATTAGCAGACCAACACTTAACCCACCACGCTACCAGTGCTTCTTAATCTCCTATTTTACAGATAAGGAAATTGAGGCTTAGGTTCCAACTTTGCCTAGTAGCTCAAAGCCCAGTAATGGCTCAGTCAGGATTCAAACCCTGGTGCAGCCTGGAGGTAAACTCCCTTCCCACTGCACAAGCAGCCTCTCACATGCTCCCTACTCAGCTGCTCCTGCCCTCTGAGAGAATAAAGATTCAAAGTTTCCCACCAGAGTGATGGAGAGAGGCATTTTGTACCACAGCCCACTCAGAAGCAAAAAGGTGCCGTTTCCAGAATGATTGACGCCCAGCTGTTCGCAAGTCACTGAAACCTCTCATTCAGTTGTCAGTACAGAAACTGATATTCCTGCATTTCTGCAGCGAAGGCATCTGGATGCAGACAGCCTGTCTTCTCCTTGCCCCCGCTCCGTGCCTCGGAGATGGAGCAGGAGTAAAGGTGAGGGCTGGGAGTGCGATGCTGGGAGCTGGCAGAATTGCAATGTTGAGGATAGCACATCCGTGCAACATCTGCGGGCTTGAAGGTCTGGCCAGCTTGGGGACTGTCCCTTCTCTTTGTTCCCACTCTGTCTACATCTGCTGATTACTTTCTCAGGGAAGATGTCATTCCTGATCACATGCTTATGATGAACCATGTAAGTCTTCAGATGGGTCCTCAAGCTTTTCCTGCTGAGGACCATAGTGCTTCTAACCACACCTGCCATTTACTGAACACCTGTCGTGTACCTAAACACGTGTCATTGAGTCAGCTCCAACCCATGGCAGCCCCACGTGGTCAGAGGAGAATTGTGCTCCACAGCATAGTTTGGGAAGTAAATCAACAGGCCTTTCTTCTGACGTACTTTTTGGGTAAACTCCAATCTTTTGGTTGGTTAGTAGCTGAGAACCACTTGGCCCTCTCATACCCTTTTGTTGTTGTTGTTGTTAAGTGCTGTCGAGTTGATTCCGACTCAGAGCTACTCTGTGTAGGGTTTTTGAGGAGCGACTGGTGAATTTGAACCACTGAACTTGCAGTTCAAATCAATCTTGTAGGTCAAATGCTTATCCTAGGGCACCACACAAGGGGCAGCAATACAGGACTTACTGCATCTAGTGCAGTAATCCTGCAAGGCTAGTACTGTGATCAGGTGCCAGCAAGTCAATTCCAACTCATATCAGCCCTGTGAACAACAGAATAAAACGCTGCCCGGTCCTACACCATCCTCACAATTGTTGTGATGTCTGAGCCCTTGGTTGCAGCCACTGTGTTAGTTCATCTTGTTGAGGGTCTTCTTTTTTGCTGACCCTCTAATTTGCCAAGCATGATGTCCTTCTCCAGGGACTGGTCCCTCCTGATAACATATCCAAAGGACATTAAACAAAATCCAGCTATCCTGGATTTTAAGGCACAATCTGGCTATACTTCTAAGAAGTCCATGGCATATTCAATATTCTTCACCAACATGATAATTTAAATGCATTGATTCTTCTCTGATTTTCCTTATTCTGCATCCAACTTTCACATGTATATGAGGTGATTGAAAATACCATGACTTGGATCAAGTGCTCCTGGGTTCTCAAAGTAAGTGACATCTTTGCTTTTGAACATTTTAAAAGGATCTTCTGCAACAGATTTGCACAATGCAAGGCAAGCACTCGTATCCCAGTTTTATAGATGAGGAGGTGGAGGTTTGGAGAGCGGAAATGAGTTGCCCAAGG